ACAGAGAGAGAGAGAGAGAGAGAGAGATCCACGACAGGAAGAAGTGTTTCTCACCATCATCGCTTACTTACTCACTCACGTAACACCACCTCACCTTCCCATTTGTTGAATTTGTGACATCATGGAATTCTCTAAGTCATGCAGAATATAGAATCTATGTACACTTCCCTGTCACGTTTCACCCCCCCCCCCTTTAAAAGAACATAAAAAACCTCAACCAACCAACCAACCAACCAACCAACCAACCAACCAACCAACCAACTAACCAACCAACCAACCAACCAACTTAACCAAACCAAACAACCAACCAACCAACTTACCAATCAGCCAACCAACTAAACGACCAATCAATCAATCAATCAATCAATCAATCAATCAATCAATCAATCAACCAATCAATTAACCAACCAACCAACCAATGAATGAATGAATGAAAGAATGGATGAATGAATGAATGAATGAATGAATCAATTTATTAATCAACCAATCCAACATTCCCGCCACAGGAGGCAAGGAGAGCCAGGAACCAGTTCAACATTGACATGATCGCCCTGGGCGTAGGGAACGAGACTTTCCCCCAAGAGTTGGAGGAGATCGCTGGACCAGAGAACGTGGACCGCCTCTTCCAGGTGTCCAGTTTCGCCCAGCTCAGGGATGTGGTCAAACAACTGGAAGACATTATTTGCGAGAGTGAGTTGGTTGTTGGTCTTTTTTTTAACACGAAAGTGAGTTGTTTATTTTTGATCTAACGGGTTAAATAAAGATAAGTATTTGTTTTATCTAATAACTTTAAAAGAGTGATTTCCTTGTTTATCTAATAACTTTAAAGGAGTGAGTTCTTATTTTATCTAATGACTTTAAAATAGTGATTTGTGTATGTGCCCAAATATTTTTACGAGGCAGTTGTCTATTATCTAATAATTTTAGCCAGTAAGAGTTATCTATTTCTGTATTAGCCTTATAACGATAGTGGTGCTTATTCATCTAATGATTTTACAACGCCTGTGAATCATTTATCTATTTAATATAATTAACGAATGTTATTTTTTTTTAAATCGATATTGCGGCTTTAACGAAAGTGAGTTGCCTCTTGATCTGATCGTTCTCGCTCCTTCTGTTCATCATTACTTTGTCCTCTGACTCCTGTGGAACCATCTTCCAGTCATCCCAGCAACAACTACGACTACAACGCGGAAGGTAACCACGCCTACCACACCAGAGTCCACAACTAGTCCATTCATCCCACGTAAGTGTTATTTTTAAAAAATTGAAAAGTCTGTTTTACGGTCCTGTTGACTCACTTTAGATCATCCAGGAGGCGGGTTTTGACCATGCCTGTCAGGACCAATCCGTACTGAAAGGGATACAACATCCCAGCAGACAGATCGAGATACTTGATAAATAAAAATTCTCCTCTCTCGGAAATCAAACTCGGGTCTCCTGTCTGTGATGTCAAAGGGCCTAACCGCTGCACCACAGACGCCGGTTACCGCGGAAGTATCAGGACGACTGTGGCTGTACCTTTCAACATAATGTCATTATTTTATACTTTATTTTACTTTTACTTTTTCATCCTCTGTTGCCGCTAAGCGTCGAGGGGAGATGCAGTTTTCTATGGTAAGCCAGCTCAGCAGCTTTTTCAGTTGTGATATTATGTTTTCTCAGGGTTTCTTTGACGCCCTCGATCCACCTTTTGCGTGGCCTTCCTCTTCCTTTATAGCCTGAGTGCTTGGCGTAACAAATAGCCAAACCATTTTATTCTGTCTTTATATATATTTTTAAATTAGTGTTTTACGGCGCTCGCAACTGCATAAGGTCATTTGAGGGCGCGGGTCACATCAGTTTCAGGGAGTAGGAAATTTTGAACTTTGCCCGGGTGTCGGCCGAAGCTTTCTCTTATCGATTTTGGACCACCAAGGGATCTTTAAGATGCACAGCTTGCACACGGGACCTCCGAGATTTTTCGCCCTTGTCCGAGAAGGCTAGTGTAGATCGTACCTACCTTAAGATCAAGGGTAAGGCTGAAAGACAACAGTAAGAAGGAGCAAAGGAGAAGCAGTAGAAAGGCTGCAGAAAGAGTCAGTAGCCCAGAGGAGGGGGCAAAGGAGGTGAGGGGTGGAGAAAAAGTGGAGACGAAAGCAGACGACAGAACATTGCTAGAGAGCCTGAAAGGAGGTGAAAGGAGACAATTTTTTTAGAGAAGAAAGTTTTTCCGTCGCTGACCTTTGAATGAGATGCGAACACTTTAACCTCTAGGCCACGAGAGC